TACAAATATTATTTACGGGTCTGTATATTACTTGAAACCATAAGAAGTATATTAAAAATAGATAAAATTTGCATTTTATGGAGGATACAATTTTTTGGGGATTTCAAAATAATCTACTAAAACATTAAAAGTAATAAGTTCAAATTTGTAGCAAATATAAATATTGTAATCATTTCTTATAAATACCATTTCCTAATGTAATTTTCCAAGATATTAAAGATCATAATGCAAAAAAACTAAATTTATTAAAAGTAATAGACTTTATGTTTCTTAAACTATCTACATTTGTCAAAGTACTTATGAATTTTCGAATATATTCGTCCACTAGTTTTATTGCTGGAATGAAATATAGCAAGACTTGCATTGCCTACTAAGAAAGTTAGTAGCTGGTAGTCATCGGGTTAAGAAAGAACTTGTGTAGCCAAAGTTTCGTCGAAACGAATGTATGGAAAATTAACGGAGACGTAACAGTATATTTTAAACGTTGACCTTGCTTTTAGTTTAAATATTTCATTGGATTCTATCATTATCTAATGTATATTTTAAACGTTGACCTTGCTTTTAGTTTTAATATTTTATTAGATTCTATCATTGTTTAATCTATATATTAAAGGTTGACCTTGCTTTTAGTTTTAATATTTTATTGGACTCTATCATTGTCTAATATATATATTTTAAAAGTTGATCTTGCTTTTAGTTTTAATATTTCATTGGATTTCTGTCATTGTCTAATGTATATTTTAAACGTTGTCCTTGCTTTCAGTTTTAATATTTTATTGGATTCTATCATTGTCTAATTTCTATTTTACTCTGTCATCAAGAGTACTAAAACTAATGAAATAATAAACATATTCACGATATTATTAGTTAAACTGATTTATTGATAGCTTGACAAACAAACACAATTTGTGAAAACAGTCGATGTACACACACTAACAATGAGGAAACTATTTTTGACCTCTTTTGCATATTACCAAAATTCATGACTATGAAACTCTATTTTTTGAAGAACATAACTGATAGAATTAAGAAAAACTTACAGGTATAGTAACTGGTGCGAAATCTTTAGAAAGATCATCATCACCTGGTGCTTTAGGTCGATAACCAGTGATGTAAGTTCGAATGCGTCCAGAGACTCTATCACCTTCACCTACGTTTACCTTCTAGCATTAAAGAAAAAGAACGAAATTATGCACAATTTCTCCATAACATCAGTATAGTTATTTCTTTAGAGTCACTTTACTGCAAACTGAATAAAACATACGTGTTATCTAGCTAACTCATATAAATGTTTGTATTTTTTATAATATATAATGTAATTATAATGTTGTAACATAGGTTCAGAAGAGTTAATCAGTGAAGCACAGATAGAATTAACCAGCCAAATAGAGTTTCTGTTAATGTTTTGTTTTCATTTACTTGATCAATCAGCCGTAAAGTAATATAAATAGTTTATTTTTTTACATTAATCGTGGTATTTATGTTTAAACGCCATTTGTTATGCCTACAAATTACAAATTATACAAGCCTGTAAAGAAACATTAAAGCAGAAATAAAATTTGTTTGTTGTTAAAAGCAGAGCTACACAACGAGCTATCAGTGCTGTGCCAAGTACTTAAAGCCGGTTTTTAGTGTTGTAAGTCTTCAAGCTTACCGGTGAGCCAGAAATGCACTAATTCCTTACTGTTATGTGGACCAGACTTTGATGGACTCTCTTCAATTATCCAGTGAAAATAATTCAATGACATTACAACACTGCTATCAGGGGTTGGATTATTTTGGTGAAAATGAAATAGAACTTTATATATACTTGAGTTGAATTTCAATTGTAAAGATGGCAACCAAGCGGTCAAGACCTGAGAATGAAGTATTACTTGAAATAATGAAATTATTGTTTTAAGCTTTATTTTAAATTTTGTAATGTGTTTCTTAGCAAGAGAGAGTCGTGGGTCATTGATCATGTAATGATCCAGAGATCTGACGAAATCTCTCGAACGTGACTTAGATTATAAATACAAGATAATTTTTTGAATTGTTCAAAAGGGTTTTTTCAACACAAATAGTTGAATCAGCCAGTATGTTAACTATCACAGTTACTTTGTATAAGCAAGTTGATTTGTTTTACATTAGTAAACGTCATTTGTAACATAGGCTTACCAAACAGCGGTATGTTTGCGGACTTACAATGCTAGAAACCGGATTTCGATACCCGTGGTGGGCAGAGCACAGGCAGCTCATTGTGTAGCTTTGTGCTTAACTTGAAACAAAACAAACTTTACAGTAGTGCACAAGTGTTTAAGCTTGTATAAATGTGAAAGAAGTAAATAAACTAATTTGTTATGGTTTACGTGGATTGGACTTTCATTTATTTTATTCAAATAATTTAAAAGAATCTGTCATCAAAAGAACAATGTCACAATATTTGATAAGTAAACTGGAATAGACGACAACTGCCTGTTGTAAAAACAACACAAGTGTAGAGGATGACTTTTCGAAAGCCTTCCATCTTACATTTTCGGGTCAGTATGTGTAAGATGTTGCAGGTCTTTATAATATCTTGGTGGATTGTGGAGGACCTGTTATTATTTATTGTTAGAAGTGGGATTTGTTTTTGATAAGAAGAAAATAGAACTGTAACCCTTGAAGGTGATGGTTACAAAGTCAAAAAATGAGATTATGAAGAAATTTACAGAAAATTAAGAGGAAGGAACAAGAAGAGATAGAAAAATATTAGGAGAACAAAAAGAACAAGACAAAGTTTAAAGCGGATCAAGAAAATTGTGACAGAAGTTTAAGATCTACTATTAAAGAATAATTAAAATCTAAGATAATTCCTGTTAAAGACACTATTGCCTCTCAGTGGCTCAGAAGTTTGTATGACGGCTCACACTGCTAAAAACCATGTTTTGATAGTTAATAGTGTAACTTTAGGCTTAACAACAAACAAACAAGAGAATAACAATATCTCTGTGTTTGATACTCGTGGTAAGCAGAGCACAGATAGCCAATAGTGTACCATTGGCTTAATGACAAACAAACAAGAGAATAACAACATCTAGGAGTTCGACTCGCAATATGCGGGTTGCTGGTTCGAATCCCCGTCCCACCAAACATGCTCGCCCTTTCCAGCCTTGGGGGCGTTATAATGTTGCGGCCAATCCCACTATTCGTTCATAAAAGAGTAGCCCAAGAGTTGGCGGTGGGTGGTGATGACTAGCTGCCTTCCCTCTAGTCTTACACTGCTAAATTAGGGACGGCTAGTGCAGATAGCCCTCGTGTAGCTTTGCGCGAAACTCAAAAACAAACAAACAATAATAACATTTGTGTGTAATTTTATGGAGAGACAGAAAAAAAAATCACAAATACAAAACAAACATTCAACACCAGGGCACAAATCATAAGGTGGGGCATTATGTAATTTGCCCTGATTTTTTGAGCTACAGGCGAAAGTAACATCCAGTTTAACACCAACTTTGCTGGCCTCACATACTTAGAATAAAGAGAGGGAACAAAAGGAGGACCAGATGTGGGTACTCTAGTCTACAACGTCGCACATCTTTACCAACTTTCGCTGTCTGCAGCCAGATGTGGGAAAGTTGTTGCTCATAAAAGATAAAAAAATAAAATAAAAACAATAAGAAATAATTAGAATATAAGACATGGGGGAGACAGCAAAGCTTTCTTGAAGTTAGCTTTCCAGCCCCTAATATGATGTTTGGACATAAATACCAAGATATTAAGGTATAGCTATACTAAGCCCAACCTAAGTTATATTTTATCTAGGGTTTGGATGTGCTGTGTAGAATTCACTAAGCCTTCGTTTTGATGTAACCTGTTTTATAAACATTTTTTGTAATTTTCTTAAATAATATTGTTACGACAGCGGAAGTCGCGTGACGCTGGGAGCATGCGCGCTGGAGTTTCTCGAATTATTGTTGAACCCCGCGAATGTCCGAGTGTTAGCTAGACACCCTCTTTTTTAGTATATAAGCCTGGCGAGAAAAACCAGCGGGATTGAAAATACATATAATTGAGTCAAGTGAACAGTA